AATCAATAGAGCAGAATTTTACGTTTAATTAAAAATGTCTGCGTGTGTAAACCAGGGCAGGTGGCAGTTGGCATGTGGCAGGCATGTGGGGAGGAGACAGGGAGCCGGCCCATGTAAAATGCTCGGCATGCTCGGGCTGGTTAGGTTTTAGCGGCCTGACACTAACCCAACTGTCGGACTGGTAATTGCCATTGCTTAATGTGCAATTAGTCCAAGTCCAGTCCAAATAAAAACATAAGCAAAGGCACCTGCGAGGCAACTTCTGGAGAGTATCTTGAAATCATCTAAGATCTTTTCATCTTTCGATTTATGAACACAGCCTCCCCCTCCTTCCCCTTCTTCCAAATTTCCATAGAGACATTATAATTTATCGACATTGAAATGTTTTACATGCGGCTTTGGACTTCCCCAAGTGCGACGTCCCCCACCCCACTCCCATTCATTCCGTTCAGTTCCGTTTACAAATTCCCGTGGGGCACTAAAGACAAGTCCGAATGATGCCGAATGTAATTAGAAATCCTCAGCAAATATACACAGATTTCTATATACATATATGCATACATATGTACATACATACATACATATGTGTTTACATATAGGATAGAAATGGGTAATGGTTGGGATCTGCTGCTGCTGCTGCTGCTACTGCGGCTGCATTTGGTTTGATGTGCAAAATGAAGACATTCGAGTTTGTGGCTTGGGTTTCGAGCACCGTGGGCTATAGATTTTCTTACGACACACAGACATTTCCCTCCAAATACATATTCATATGTATGTACAGATGTATATGCAGGTGCTGTATTTGTGCTTGGAGTTGGGGTTCGGGTCTATATAATGCACACACACACACACAGGCCAACACCTGCTTTTGGCCCTTGTCTGCCCGCTGGCCAGGCAAAGGGGGAGGCATCTCAATATAAACTGCCTTCAACATTTAATTAGTGTGTTTTCCCCAGACCAGTGTTCAGTGTTCCATGTTCCATGTGTGTATGCAAATGTCGATGGGCGCAACTGTACATGCTCACATACATGCCTCTCTCTCTCTCTCTCTCTCTGTCTCTCTCTATTGCTCTCTCCTTCTGGCCCAAGACATTGACGTTTCGTTGGTTATGCAAATTCCATGCCAACACCTTTTCGGCCAGAGACTAAGACAAACTTAAGTGGGGAAATGGACGGAATGGGGGGACACTATAAAGCCCCCCGCACATGTACATATGTGTGTATGTGTGGGCACACATACACTGGCATACACAATTGCCTTTTATAATTAATTTTACAGTTAAGTGTATTTCAAGAAAGTTAAATTTACGTAAATTCGAAAATTTCGAAAGGCCATTGCCTTGGCCAGAAAACCTCACACACACACACACACAACCAGTCATAAGGGTTAAGGCAGAGCAGGATGTGAGGTGTGGAATGGGCTTATGCGAGCGTATGTCTGCATGTGTGTGTGTTGGCCCGAGACGTTGCTGTGGCTTGTGTCCTGAGACATTTGACTGCTTTTTGGGGGGCTAAGCCCTCGTCTTGTGCCTCCTGCCATGGCTAGCACAAATTTTATTGAAATTGCCAGGATCTGGGGGGGACACACTGAGGAGGGCTCTGGGCTGGGCAACACTTACATTATGCAATCTAATTATGTCTTGTGTTTCTCCGCATATGTGTGTGTGTGTGTGAAAGACAAAATGGCGTCTCAGCTCTCCAGATGATGTTAGATAAGTGGCAAGGGCGGTGGGGCGCGTCCATTCAAGTTATCTTGGGACAAAGTTCTGTTGAAAGTGCATGAGAGAAATGCACAGAAAATGCAATAAAAGTTTGTAAATATTTAATTGCAAAATAATTGCCACATTTTGCGTATACTCTGGCAAAGCAGTTCCAAACAAAGTTCTGCTGTGATCCATTTTTAAATTGACAATATCAATCTCCTGTCCCCCAAAAGTAGCATCCGAATTGACTCTTCCATATTCGATTACGCCTAGTAATCGCTTTAAGGGAAAATCAATTTCAAAATTTTCCTCATTAAACTGCTTGTTGTTCCACTAATGAAATCATTAAAATTGTTTAAAAGCAAATTTTGCGTTGGGCAAGCCAGAGGACACAAATGGGGGCATGCAAAATTTATGTGGCAACTAGAAACTATGTTTTGGCAACACACACGCACGCACACACACACAGAGAGACGTAAATATATATGTATGTATATATGTATGTACACGACCAAAGGACATTGCCTTGAGCCGGGACCGAGACTGAGGCCATGGCCGAGGACGAGGAGGAGAGATAGGAGGAGAGGCAAGCAGACGGACAGACAGCAAAAGTTGCCAGTTGAAGGCAGAAGCAAATCCTTAGCAGAGACACAGAGCCACCCCCTCTGACCAGAACCGCCCCCTGTACAAACTACGACACCCCCCGAGCCCCCTTCCCAGAACTGTCAGCCGCGTGTGCTACTTAAACCCTTGCCCAAAAACTATCCACGAAGAGGAGTGGGGAAGGGGAATGGAAATGGAAATGGGAGTGGGAGTGAGCAGGGGTGGACTTTGGGCTTTGGGCAAGGCAAGGCAAGGCCAGGCTGGGTGGGTGGCCAGACATCGAAAACATGATTTTAGTGTTTCCAAATTTGAATTTTAAACAAGTCATAATATAATTTGGCTAAGCAGCAACAGTAACCGGCGAAAAGCCGCCGGATAGGCAAAAGGGCCATGCCATCCCTTATGCTTGGGCCAGGCACTGCCACTTGGCCCATGTCTGTGTCCACTTGCCGGGCTTTAATCCGGCTACCTACCCATACCATGCCATTCTACTGGATCCGATTCCAATCCCACAATCCCCAAACCCATTCGGGGCGGCATCTACAAAAATTAGTTCAAGCAGAAGGCGGCCAAGCCAGAGCCCCAGTCCGAGCCCGATCCCGAGCTCATTTTTCTCTCATTTCCTCTCCCGCATCTTTGGCGTTTTTCTTTGCCAGCAAAAATTGTGAAATTTAAATTAGATACAAAAGTATCTATGTGGCCCGCCGAAGGGGTGTGAGTGTGTGTGCGTGCAAACTATCTCACACGAAATATTATAATTTTGCTGCAACTAAAGACGTAAGCGGATATTAGCAGCAAATTAAGCTCCTTCAATCCACGCCCAGTTGCCTCTCTGCCTCTTTCCCTACCGCTCAGACGTACTTAGAGATGGGAAAAACTTCGAAACTGTTGGCACGAGTATCTTTTGGTGTTTTAAAAATATTTCTGAGGGTTTGCTAAATGAAAAAGAAACATTAAAAAAGACTCCATTTGATTATAATCAGATAGATAATTATCTAATCACACTTTTGCTATTTATGCACCCTGATCGATAGTTGGTAATTAGCACAACTGCCATCTCCAGCGATACCGAGTAGATTGAAACTCCTTCAACCCCAGGAACCACTTCGATTCGGGTTGCTGCTGCCTGCCTGTCGTCTTGGGCTGTGGTCGGCCAAGGGGACGTAGGATATACGTAGCTTAAATCATACTCCTGTATTGCTACATTTTAAATATGCTCCTTTGACCCTCTCTCCCTGCCACTCAAGGGGTTGGGCACTAAGGAAGTTCACTTGGGTTCAGTGGGCAGGGTGTGTGGGTGGGTGGGTGTGTGGGCAGCAGGAGGCGGGCATTTCTAGGGCGTTGTTATCGTCAACTTGGCTGGCAAGCATTTTCCATTCTAATTTCTAATTATTTCTATGCGAGTGTGTGTGTGTGTGTGCCATCGGGAGAGTGTGTGTGTGTGTGGGTGTCTGTCTGACCAACTAGGTGGGCGGACTTTATCCCCACCCCGACCGGTCGTCCACCCTTCTGTCTATCTGTCTGTCTATGCGAATTAATTAAGTGTTTTCGTGCGCGGGCAAAATCCTTTTGCGGTTCAACTTCCCTCCACTTCACTTCACCTCACTCCGCTCTGCTCTGCTCTGGTCCGCTCCGTTCTGTTGTGCTCGTTTCGGCCCTGAATATGGGTTGGGTTTAGAACTTTTGAGGTTTAGCCAAGGCGCACACTACATATCGGTGGGGTGTGTGGGGGCTGGGGGGAGAAAATCAATTATAAATTAAACATTTATTAAAGAAAGCGCACACATTGCCTGAAGGCAGCCGTCTCCGTCCTCATCTCTGCCTTAACCTTTCTGCATTTGCCTATGCAAATCAGCAGCGGCATAAATAATGCGACATCATTATTTAGGCAGAGAGAGAGGTAAGGCCATGCAACATGCGACTTGCTCCTCCATCATGCTCCCCACTCCATATCCGTACTCGCTACAGAACATTTTTGTCAACAACTGCGAGGCAGGCAGGCAGGGCAGACAGCGAGCGAACCGATCCGATCCATCCATCAATTATGTCTGCAGCTGTAGAAACGCTCCGTCAGGGCCCAGGCTTTGTCTCATTTCGATTGTCTTCAGAAAGAAAGAGAGACAGAGTGAGAGAGAGGGGAGAGAGGGAGACAGAGAGAGACAGAGAGAGAGAGAGAGAGATAGAGACATTGGGGATCATCCGTTTGCTTCCCTTTTGATTATGCAGACGGGGAAGGTACATCAAACTCGAACCCGAATAAATGTGACGGCCTGCATATGCGACTATACTATACGACTGGCGGAATATGCTGATGGATGCGCCGGGTACGAGTACGAGTACGAATACGAGTATAACTGATTTGTGTGTACCCGTAATCGTACATACGAGTATATCTGAATTGGTAATTTGCTATAAAGCGACTTTAATATGGCACGCAGTACCGCAGCCTCCTCTCCTTTTGGGAAGACACTTTGCATACTCATCCCCGGGTATCGGTGCATACGAATATGTTTTGAATCTACATGGCTAAGTGGGCTGGCCTGCTAAAAGATACAAATTTATACGCAGCGTGCAGATGGATGTCGTTCAGCGTCGACTGGAAAGGTGCCAGGAGAACAGTGCTGTTCAGGCACAAAGCGTTTCAAAATATCAGACCATCGTGATGTGATATATATCAAGATAAACTTTCAAATATAACAGCTAAATATATTTTTATTTATGTTTAGCAGCTTTGTTTAGCTTTACGGACTCATTGGATGGCATCGTTGGTATGGGCTGAAGGTTGACAGCAGCTGACCGGAATCATTTCCTTGCGGGCGGGCAATCTCCAGGCGTTTTGCCCTGCCTCTCGAGCTTAGCCCTGGCCTCATAGACCACGCACATGGGCGGAATGTCCCTGCAATTGCACTCAACTCTGTGCCTGCGAGGAGGCTTGGGGCGTCGGCACTCGGAGTAGGCCGGATAGGGGGCCTTAACCTTGACGCAGTCGGTTTTGATGCGTACGATATGGCAGCGCACGGGATCCCTGACAGGCTTACAGCCGGGACTTGCTATCTTGGGGCATGCTCCCTCTGTGGGGCAGGGCTTATCCTCGACGCACTCGTCCTTCACCTTGCGCTTGCGACGTGCAACGGGCGGACGCTTCCCCGACTCGTAGCAGCAGATCTTCTTGGGCTTGATCACAAGGGGTGGACACTCCACCCAGGTGACCTGGTAGTTGCGCTTGGCCTTGTCCGACTCCTTGTACAGGCACTCGTCGAAGCGCGGAAAGGCCTCGATGCAATCATTGAGACAGCACTCTTTTGACATCGTGATCAGATGGTGGAACTGAAACTTGCCCTTCGCCGGTGTCTTGTCGCTCTTCACGAAGTTCGTGTTTTCGCAGTCTCTGATCTTCGAACATTCATCCTCGGTGCACATCGGTGTCGGCCTGTCGTCCTTTGAGTAGAGACGGTGGTTCTTAGCGACGCCCAGGTACTTGATCCAATGATGCGCATTGGTCCTGCCCCCCACACAGCGCCACAAAGACATTTTATTTGATTTCAAAACACAACCGAAATGACAGAAAGTTTGTTTTTTTTTTTAGAAATTTCGAGAAAATTCCGTAAATATTCAACCCAAACCGAAACCGATGTGCCTCCAATGAAATCCCAAGCCAGACTGAATTGAAATTTCTACATCCTCAGAACATTGGCAAATAAAAACACTTTGTCAAGGCCTTCTTAATAGCCAAAAATATTTGATTCTGCATTGCTTTCTGCCTTCGAATATTCACAACTGATCAAAGTAGTTATTGAGTTTTTCGTTGGTCTCCTGAGCTCGGTCCCAGCCCCCATTCGACAGTCTCAAACTCGCTCTCGGCCTAGCCATAACACAAAATTTCGGAATTTTTGGGAAAAAGTCAATCAAATTTCTTTATTTCGGCTGTATAAAACAAAATTACAATAGAGTTCCAGAATGTTCCGGCTTTTGAGGCACAGGACGCATCAGATAGCCAAGGGTGGCTTAATGCGCGTGCAGCGTGCTACGCCGCTGAGTCTGCCAGTGCGGAGCTTCGGGGATGACGACTGCAAGCCGGACATCTGTGTACCGGTACCGGTGGAAACTCGGTGCGGACCCCCATCCCTGCGGAAGCCCTGTGGAGTCACGCCGAAGAAACCGGAGGAGCCGAAGGATCTGCCCAAGCCGAAGGCCGTCTTCAAGTCGATGTGGGACGTAGAGGGTTGCCCGCCGATTGTCTGCGAGCTTCCCGTTCGGTACGACGTCAAATACTATCGGATATCGGACAAGGAGAAACGCAAGTACCAGGTCACCTGGAACGAGTGCCCCCGCATGGTGGTCAAGCCCAAGAAGGTGTGTCTCTACTCGACGATGGTCCGCCCCAAGCCCTGTCGTCGCAAGCGCAAGGTGAATCTCAGGGATGGTGCCCCGAAGATGCAGAACCCAATGGAGTGCATGAAGAAGGCGACAAAAGACGAGTGTCCCCGCGTAACGATGCCCTGCTGCAAGCCAGCCCGCATTCCGCCCACCTGCAAGTCCGCATTTCAGGGGCTATCAGACTGCAAGAAGCGCCGTACTCCGTACCCCAGCTTCTCCGAGTGCAAGAAGGATGAGCTGCCTGAGGCACCGCCTACCGAGTGCAAGTGCTTGGACAATCCCTCCTTGTGCGAAACCTGGGCCGCTCTGAGGCATCGCCTGGCCCTTGGTCGTGGCCCTGTTAAGAAGTGCGGAGAGCCCTAAACTAACCAGCCATTGAGCGGGCCTTGAGACTGAGATTGAGACTAAGAAATTTTTTTTTTACTTTTGCCTGAATAAACACCAACTCGGCCTCATTGACATTTCACTCATTGAAGGGAGGGGGCAGCGGGACTTACAAAAAAATGTTGAACATATGTGGAGCAAATCTGAGCAGGAAGCTGCCTGCTCTGGGCGCTCTCACGTGCCGCCGTCTGCTGGCCAAGGGTGCAGATAGCTGCGGAGACGACGCATCAACGTGCGGAAAGTCCCAGAAGAAGGCAGAACCCAGCTGCAAGCGCAATCGCAAGAGGCAGCAATGCTCCAAGAAACGGACACCCTTTCCCAGCTACTCGGAGTGCAAGAGGAAGCCAACAGCTCCGAAGCCTGCCACAGAATGCGACTGCTTGCAGTTGGATAAGTGATTCCTATGGCAATTCAATTTGGAAAAGTTTGTCAAAATTTTAAAATTCAGCAAATAACAAAAACCAAAATCTTAAATACATTTTTGGCCTTCATAAATATGCTCAAGTCGATACTCAGACTGCAGCCCAAGATGCAGTCCCACCAATGTCGACAACGCCTCTACGATATGGCTTTGTTGCGGTGCCACAGTCCGGGGGCATGGCAATCGCCCAAAGACTTCATGGAGGAACTGCAAAGTCTGCCAGTACCGACCGAGCACATAAAACAGTCCATACCGCTTGACGTGGGTCCCGTACCGCCATTGCCCCCCATTCCGCTCTCAAGTGGCCAAAGAGGAGGAGTCGGCGCTTGCGATTGGCTGTATAGCGAGCAATGGCAGGCTGGGTTCATCGATCTGGTCATACAGGATAACAAAATGTTCATAGTCCAAACTGCGTATAATTAAATTAGCAATTCCCCCAACAGTTGCATTTTAATTAGCTATTGGGAATCAGTTGTTGTTAGCCACGTTAACCGCTTTTATTTCTCAGCAAATGGCCTCCAGCGCTGACTATGGAAATTAATCAAATATGAACGGATCTAGTAGTCCTGGAGTCTACGCTGCAAAGCATTTTTTATACCCTAACAATCTGTATCTAGTTTTAAATCATAAGTAAATCAGTTTCGGCACCGTTTGGATTGTTTTTCTAGCTTTATTATTTTCGAATTTTCACATTTTTTTTAATCTAAATTATAAGCCACCCAGAATGTATTCATCGTTGGCAGCTGTCAGGGCCAAAGTTGCGGGACTTAACCTGGCTTTCGGATCAAGAGTGCTGGGATTCGGGAGGGTCATGCAGATGTCTGACCACACTGGGCTGGTGAACCAAAGGATTAGGATGCAGAGGAGCCAGTCTGAGGAGACAACGACCCAGTCCCAGGAGATCAGTCGCCAGGCCCGGTACGATGAGAAATACTACAGGCCTGTCTGCTACCGTGAGCGTGTCTATGAACGGACTTGGCCCGAGTACGAGGTAGAGAAAGAGTACGAAGAGCCAACAAAGCCTGACACAGATCCTCGCAACATCGAAGAGCTTGAGGAGCTCGATCGCTGGAACGAGGTGGCCTCTCGCAACAGGGAGGAGCTGCGGCGGCCAAAAGGCACCAAGCGACACAACAGCCAGAGCCGCAGAGACGAATGGGCTGAGTTTCGCAAAAGGAGCCGCTAGGCAAGGACTCGCCCAAGTAGCTGCCACCGTTAACGAGCTTTAGCAATCCATTAAAATCCAAACAAATAAACTAAATTACAAATACCTTTACCTTTATAGTTAATTTCTATATATACAACAGATTTTGTGATATTTTACTGAACCAGGAGGATTACCTGTTAGGTTTTGCGCACATTTCTCTTCATAGAGTTAGTGGGATCGAAGCCTTTAGTAGGTATGACAGAATTCTCCCAGAGTATTATTCGATATTTAGAGTAAATTTTCCCCAACAACTCCAGACGTCAAAAATTTGTGTCGAAATCATAAATTTTCGAAGGCAAATCAGGCATTGCCCTTGCCTGCAGCTTTCAGGCTCGACAACATTTTAAATTCAGTATCAGTCGGTATTCGGCTCAGCCCCGACGCGTCCGGACCAAAATTCAAATATATTCCGGCATAAAATTCTCGAGAAAAATCTAGATAAATTTTCTCCAAGCGTTTTCGATTGATAAAAATTCTAAAAATTAGTTATTTGATAGGCTGAATTTAGTCCGACGCGGTTGACGAGCATGTATCTTCTTAAGAATAGTCTGAGGAAGGCGCCATCGTTGGTGCAGGTCTTGTGCAAGCCGAGCCCAGGCCCGCTGTTCTCGGCTCTCGGCGTCAAGAGGTCCATGGACACGCTGTACGGGGGCGACTCGTGCGAGGATTGCGTGGACAGCTACCCCACTCTGACGGTGCGAAAGGATCTCAAGCGAATGAAGGTACCCGACACCACGAAGATGCCCGACGCCTGCTGGCAGTCCCTGCGCCGCACCGAGTTCAAGTGCCGCACCGATCCGGAGTTCAGTGTCGGCTCCTTCATAACTGAGCGAAAAAGGTGCCTGGCGGATCCATGTGCCATGGACTTTCCGCCCAGAGATCTGAAGTACTACCGGCCCGGCGACAAGCTGCGGCGGAAGTACCAGCGCACCTGGGTCGAGTGTGTGCTGAAGCGTCGCAAGCGCAAGGCCAAGTGTGTGTTCAAGCCACTGCATATCAAGCGGCGCAAGCGCAAGGAGCCCAAGTCCCGAACCGTATGCAAAATGGTACCCTGCAACGCTGGGGCGCCCAAGCTGAATCTGATGGGCTGCACCAAGTCGATGGGCGGGCCGTGCCCGAAAATAAACATGCCCTTCTGCAAGGAGGTCTACAGTTCGACCCGCTGCAAGGTTGGAACACGGGGCCCGGGAAAGTGCCGCAAGCGTTTGACCAAGTACCCCAGCTTCTCCGAGTGCTTGATCGATCCGTTGCCGGAGGCGCCACCCACCGAGTGCAACTGCCTGGAGCGCCCGTCCATGTGCTCCGTCTGGGAGTACTATCGCCACAAGAAGTACTAGGCTGCCGATTCCATTGCTAATCCAAAATTTAACCCAAAATAAAGACCAATTACAGAGCTCCTGCTTTGGCACACAAAAATTCCTCGATTTTTCTTTCACAACTGTCCTCGTTCTCATTCCAGAATTTAGCAGTCCGTTCGTCATTCAAAGTCCCCCTGTTTTTTCTAAATTCAAAATTGGAAAACATACCACTGAAAGGGAACCCTCCGGAGCTATGCAGGTCAGGCAGTTCAGTCCGCTATTAGCGCTTCGATCGGTCTACCAATCAGCTCGCTTCATGGCAAAGTTGCCGCAGCCGACAGGTGTGCCTGTGGAGGCCGAGTGCCAGCCTTCCAGCCTCAGCTGTGGTAGACCCGGGAGCGCGTTTCGTTACCAACTGCCGTACGAGCAGCTGATGGCCGAGTACCGCGAGCTGGAGGCAAAGTGCAAAATTCTGCGCATGGCCCTCCATCAGACCAGCAAGAGGTGGCAGACCCAGAGCCCCAAGCAGCCGTGCTGCTACACGCAGCGCACCTTGGTGGAGTGTCCGCCGGGGAAGTTGCACCTGAAGAAGACCAGGATCGAGCCTCGAAAGAAGTATCCCTGTCTGAACACCGTGTTCCTGTGCAAAGTTCTGGCAGAGGAACTGCGGCGCAAGAAGCCCTAAGAGGCGGTGACTGGACAGGACTGGGTTCTGTTCTCTGCAGCCAACCAATGGAACTCTTCCGAATTGCTTCCGTTGCGGGCTTCAGAAGACAGAATTTGTGCATTCCATTTGTGAATAAATAATAAATACTTTTCGATCGTATCACCTTTTTACTTTTATTGAGAGATCCCAGTTGGCATTGAGCTTTGATTCACGTTCCCAGATACAGTTCAGAATCAAACTACACATCATCAAAATCACTTGTTCGTATTTCTCACATACCATAAAGTACTTCGTTTTAGTCTTGACACTCGCGACCGAGAAAAGCCAAAATCAATAATGGCGGGAACCTCCATTCTGGCTTCCATCTGTGCGGGTCGCTTGACCAAATTGATCGCTCACCACTCGAGGGCCCAGTCCCATCAAATCCAGAACAAGGCCCGGTTCACTGCCCAGGTGCTGTCTCCGCACGCGAAGACCGCTGAGCGATGTGACAACTTAAAGCACTACGACGCGGCGTCCAACCAGATGGCATCACGTCAGATGCCGAAAGCAAAGAAGTTCGACTTCACCTCGCAGTGGACCCCAACCATATCAGGCTGCCAGCGATCGGCGATGGAGCCTAGGCAGCCCTACATCTGCAGTCTGTTGCAGTCGAAGGGTGCAGCGGGGTATAAGAAGCTGCCCGTGCCCGTGCCAGTGCCAGGGCCGGTCCAGGTTCCAGAAGCAGTGACAGCCAAGCCGCAACCTGTGCAGATGTCCGAGATATTGGAAGCCTCACGCAAGTTGCCGCCGATTCTCTTTCCCGGCAAGATCTCGGTGGGAAGTCGGGCCCAGATGTCGCCCACTCTGCTAATGGGCAGCCGATACACCATGGGACCCTCGCGGAGTCAGCCGCATCCAGCGATCTTTGATCACATCAAATTTTATCGTAATTGTTTCTAAATCGTCTCTGATGGGTGCAGTCCTGGCCACCTACCGCTGCCAACATTCAGCTACAGCTTGAACACAACACTACCGCACGGAAATTGTGCTGTGACTGAGTTGTACCTGAAGATGGGGGCCGGTTCTCCACGGCTGCTCCAAACTATTAAATATGTTTCCATTCAAGAGGATTTTGTTTCATTCTATGGGAAATGGGGCAGGCAGTGCCGTTTCATTCCAATTGAAACACAACTTTCGGCTTAAATTCACCTTAAAATTAATTAAAAATCCACAGAGTACCAGTTGAAAGATCCAGACAAATATGCTGATGGATCTGGCCTCGCAGATGCTCAAAGTGATGTCCACTGCCAGCAGATGCTTCCATCGATCCGCAGTGGTCAAGAAGACGAGTCCCCTTGACCATGCTATTGCAATCGATTGCACCAGCAGGACGACAAGACGTCAGCCGGTCAGGGAGCCCATTTTCCGTACTATGTATCCACCAGTTCGATCCTACAGCAGGCAGCATGAGTACTTTATGGGCCAGTTCAGAAAGATGTCTGATGTTCAGACAAAGGACACACCACCGAGAAGCGTCCCGAAGTGCCCCACGGAGCTCATGTGGAAAAGTCAGCCCAAATCCTGTCCCAAGTGCGATGAGCGCTTCGACGTTTTGTTGTACCGGGCGTCGGACAAGTTCCGCCCCTACCAGCGCACCTGGTGGGAGTGTTGTCCACGCCTGGTGCCGAAGCGAGTTTGCCGCTGGTCCGATGCCATTCCGCCGCAGGTGAAACGTCACAGGAACAAGGAGACCAAGGGCTTAAGCAGCATAGCGATGCCCTGCTGCAGGGCGCCACTGGTGCCGCCCAATTGCCCGTCCTGGAAGCCATGCAAGAAGATCAAATGCCCGTTTCCCAGTTTCTCAGAGTGCGTACGAAGTGATCTCGTACCGGAGCGTCCAAGCGAGTGCCGCTGCCTGGAACGTCCCCCAATCTGCATTGCCAGTCTGTATGCCAGGAAGATGGGCAACATCTATCCGTGTCGGCGATCGTAACCGAGCAGAGGGCAATATATTGTGGATGGCATTGGCATAGAGCATGTGTCCCGTGAGCTCTGACGGAATCTGTGCAACTTAACTGCGGAGATCCTGCCAGAGCACACGGGGCAATCAAAACAAATGCAATAAATAATCATGAATTAAGTGGAAATTGTGTTTATTTTATTCACTCTGTATTCTGAAGCCTTTCGGATCAACGGAGCACTCTCTGGCCGATCCGTCTTGTTCCTGCCTGGGGGCATAGGCTTTAGTTTCCAGTCAGTCCATTATCCCAAGTTCCCAAGTTTGAACATACATATATCGAAATTTCTCTCTTTGAAAATACAAATTTTTTTTTTCCATTTGCTGCAGCATCATGATGTCTCGTTCGCCCCCGATGCTGATATGTGCGCGCATGGTTAATTGCTGTGTCACTCGCAGTCTGGCCTCCAAGTCGGAGGCAACTCTTAAACGGAATCGACGCTTCAGTCAGGCGTGTCTCGTGTGCGCGGACAGGGACGCCAGGAAGACGCAATCGCAGTCTGAGTGCCGTACGATTGTTACCGGGGAACCGACATTCAAGGAGGAGTTGGCCAGCCAGGACTCGGAGTTCGACGTCAACTCGGCCACTGAGCAGGGGGATCTGCTGCAGAAGTACGAGCAGAAGCTGATGATGGATCAGCAAGAGAACAATCAGGCAGAAGGCTCAGTTGGTAGGAAGACTTTAAGCGCTTGCGACATGAGCGCTGCATCGCTGACGTATCAATCGAAAAAAGCTTATCATGACATGCGTCGGAGAACTAGCAGAAGATTCAGTGAGGAGAAGGACACTGCTAGTGCACCAGAAACAACGGATGACTACGACCAGTGCATTAGTATGGCAGTGGATGATATCATAGCTGGCTGCTCAGTCTCCGAGGCTGGCTGGTGCCACGAGAGTTGGATCGGCGACGATGGAGAGAGTCCTTTGGCAGGGGACAGCAATGCGGACCAATCGATGCCCGATAAAGCGGTCTATGAGCAGTGCATGAGCCAAGCCGTAAAGGAAAGCAAACAAGCAAGAATCAACAACGAGGCAACGAGTCATTGGGCAGAGGATGAGAATACGGGCCTAGAGGTGCGGTACAACAGTGAGTCATACGATCTAGCCGACTTTGCGGAGTTCTTGGAATCAATTCAGGAAACAAAGCGCATCGCAGCTTCCGAAATAGAAGCCTTGTTTAGGGATTATGTTAGCAGCAATAAGTCCCAATTGGAAGCGGATAGCAGCACCGATCGAACTGTCTATGACGAGTGCATGAATCGGGCCGCAGAGAAAGCTAAAAGCGAGAATCTAGAGCTCGCGGCTAGCACTTTCTCTCTTGATCCGTCTGTCTACAAGGAGTACATGAATCAGGAACTGGGCGAAGCTACTGGTGCATCACAGTTCAGTGTGTACACCCAGTGGATCGACGAGCGGGGGGTTCCTATTGACTCGAAGAATGAGCCAGTAGTCCTACTGTCCCAGGAACCAACCAATCTGTCGGCGGTACCTGAAAAGGGTGCCAACCAGCTCTACCTGGATGAAATTCAGAGTTTGTGGCACCGAGAACACGCCGCCACATCCACCTCCAAGTCCACAGATGTGTTCAATGCAGACCAGGACATGGACATGGACATGTCCACCGACGTGTTGATGTCGGACAAGGACAAGAACACGGAGACTGCCAACAAGATCTTCTTCGACAAAATGCAGAGTGTGTGGGACCATAACCAAGTGGACCTGGTCACTGAGTACGAACCCCAGCGCGATGCCGAAACGGACTTTGGCGAGTTCCTTCGCCGCGAATCGGAAGCTCCAGAGGCCATGGATACAATACAAGCCTACAGGCCCTTCAAAACCATACAAGTTCCCACTGATATGAAGGTCACCCGCAGCAAGGTATCCACAGGTCTGGACGATTCCCTGCAGAGTCAGCGCCCTGCTGTGTCAGTGCACATTGCAGCTGGCAAGGCGGGGAAGGGTATGCAGAAACGGCCAACGGATAAGCCCACTGCCTCCAAGGGCGACGGCAAGGGACGCCACCTCCATACCAAGCTAACGGAGAAGCAATCACACAAACTAGTGATTCTTGCCCTGCAGCATGCACTCGACGAGTTGAAATCTGGCAAAGCCAATCTCAAGACCAAGATCACCTTCACCGAGCCCTAAATAATAGTGAGCGAAGCAGCTGGATTTAATTACACTTCTTTTTGGATTATCAAAATTGACAAATTAGTTAAAATAGATTTAAGAAATTATGAAAAGTAATAATGGGAATATAAATACCACTTCAATACTCTTTACTATATTTATGTATATCCACCCCCATATATTGCGAACATCGAAGGGGATGGGGTACGTTTGGAGGGTCGTCCGATTGTACATTCACTTTGCCAGAGATTTCAGTGCGGAAAAGCTCAACGCAACGACAGCAAACACACAAAATGCGAACAGCAGACTGCGCATGTTTAAATTTAATTGAACATTTAGCCAAATTAAAATGCATTTTATTACGCAGACTCGGCCGTACTGACTTTGGCATGGAAATGGAAATGGAAATGCAAAACAACGCGCGCCCAATCAGCCAGCCAAAGTCAGTCGTAGTCGCAGTCGCAGCCGCAGTCGCAGTTGCAGTTGCAGTCGAAGTGGCAGGCCAGACTCCCAGATAGATATAGAGACTAGAGACTGGAGACAAAGTCTCTGTTGGAGTGCAGGCTGCTGACTGGGCCTAGGCACGCAACGGTTATTCGGTTCTCTTGGTTTTCCAGTGCCTGGGTTTTGTATTTCGGCTCTGAATTGTTGGCAGTGTTTATGCGAAATTTGGCACAGATTCGCCAGGCAGAGATTCGATCTTAAGGCGGAACTGGGCGAGAGGAGCGACACATGCATACACACACAGAGAAAGAGAGAGACAAACTGGTTGGCTAACATGCGTTCCTGCAATTGTTTAATAGCCTAATTAAAATGTGCGCGAGGGAACAGGTTGGTTGGGAAAGTCGGGCATAGCTCGTATGCAAAAGCCATGGCCTGAACCGAACTGAACCGAACTGAAAGTAGAAGCAGCAGCAGCCGCACCAGCAGCAGCTTGCATGACTGTCATGCATCACCATCTGTGCTGTGACGTGATGTGACATGACTGGATGATGTTGAGGACAGGACAGGACAGGACCGTACTGTACTGTCATGCGGGTGGTTTGTCAGCTGCTAATGCTCGACTTCTCTCTGCTTTCTGCTTTCTGCTCTCTCTCTCTCTCCCATCTCCCTGATTTTCATGTTTTATTTTTTATTTTTTCTTATTTCTTGCAATTACATTTGGCTGTTAATTGCATTATGCATATTTATGGAAACACCCCAGCCAGCAGCAGCAGCAGCAGCAGCAGCAACAGCTCTAGCTTCTTCTCCTGCTGCTTCTGCTCCTCTTCTATTGCTGCTAACTCCCACTGCTGTCCAGCAGCTGAGTCAGCAGAGGGTACAATGCCGGCTCATTAGCATACATCAGCGCGTTAAGCTCGTCCAGAGTCTGAACGAGTTACGAGCATAACAGGCATACCGCTTGTCAGACAGCGTCAGACCCATCCCCAGCCTCATCCACATCCATCCAATGTACAGCAGCAGCCCTGAGTAGCCCTGGCCCCCTTCCCGCACTAATTTAAATTAAAATGTGAAAAACACTCTCACAGGGATAAGGGAAAAAAAAACACAAACACAACGAGCGAGAACTGGAAAATGTGCATGGAAAATCAAATCTAAAATAGCTGCCGGACATGAAATAATCAAATTGTACGGCCAAACACTAGCCAGCATAGTTGTGGGAGTTGCAGGGAGCAGAGAAAATATGATTATGCGAGCATGTGAGAAGCGTTGCCTAAACGGATTTCAAATGAAATTTAATTTTATATTTTTTTTTTATTTTTATTTCTCTGATTTTCAAGTAAGCGCAAATTTCTGTAGCTGCTTAATATCTTGAGTATCTCTCGCTTAACAACCTCTTAAATTCTCTCGTACTCTCGCTCCTCTCTCTATCTCTGCTTAGTAAACTCTCATTCTCTCACACTCTCTCTTTCTGGGGCACGAAGCAAACAAACACCTAAGAAATGTCCAGCTCTCTGCTTGAGGCTGTTTTTTGTTCTTAGGGGTTCCATTCACACTTCTCTCCGAGTAAAGGGCTGCTGCTGCTGCTGCCCTTGCTGTGCGCCTGTTAAGCTCAGCCATGGATTTCAAGAGAAAGAGAGGAAGACAGGCACACACAAAGAGCGAGAGAGAGTAAGAGAGCCACCAAATGGCTGCAATAAATAATTGTGCCCACTCTTTCCATCCCTCCCGCACACCAGAGAGCATGGAGCAGAGAGCCAAGCCATGAAATATGCCAGAGAAATATCAATAAGCAAGCGGACGAAAACTTTCTAATCGCACTATAATTGCAGGGGAAAAAACCGAAATTAAGAAGAAACGAGCAAACGAGGAAGCGAGGCAACTGTTGCAATGTTGGCAATGAAAAATGGCGAACAGTAATCTATGTATTTGGCCAGCAACAATGTAGCAGTGGAATGCATGTATGTGACATTCATGCATCCATAACTCACAATCGAATTTGCATCCATTCGGAATTAAGAAACAAACAGCGACTAATAAGTACACACCATTAACACTGGACAACATGCCGCGGCTTAGTTAAGTGCCTGGCAGTATTGGGCCATAAACCAATTGCCAATTCACGCCAATTTATATGCCGTGATTAGCCCAGATCGACAGAATAAAATTTACGGCAATGACACTCGCACGACACTTTCATAATTAAGTCAGGACAAGGAGAGTGGAACTGGTTTACCTACCCCCTACCCCCCATTTGCCTACCATTCTAGTTTCCATTTTTCCATTCGAAAGCTGATCTGCAGATTGATGTGCCACTGCTCCTACCACTATATCGCGATCCCATCATTATCATCTCTAGTGGAGTCTATCAATGGTCGGGCAGGCAAAAAGCCAATTAGGCCGAACCGAACTTAATTCTGCTCCTGCCACTGCCCCACCCAATTAAGCGAAGGCGAACGAAAAGGCACAACACAGGACCCCGCATCGGTGGGTACAGTGCAGGAATACATGTCGTTTAATTGAAATAATTACACATTAAGTGCATTAA